GCAGGTGCTTGGGGATTTCGTCCTCCTCCCCTCTGCCTCTGAAGTTTCCTTCTTCTTTGAAGTTTTCTTGCTGCATTGAAAACTCAAATGGCCTTGTGCTCCACACGAAAAGCACCGCTTCAACTTTAGTGCTTTAACAGCAGCAGTTTCACTTTCACTTTCCCCTGCTGGAGACTTAGGCACATTTTCAAGCACATTTTTAACAGCACCATTTTCCCGGCTTTCTCTAACAGCCTGTCTGCGATCCCACTCATTCAGGAGCACGCTAGACACATAATCTTCCGTTAGCCGGTCAGAAGGCATTGTAGAAATCTGGGCAGCTACTCCATCGTAAGAATCGTCTAGGCTATTTATCATCAGCATTGCAAACACAGCCTCTGAAATAGCCAGGTCTCGCTGAACAAGGTCCTGTCTGAGACGCTTTAACTGAGATAGATGGCTAGGCAAATCACCACCTTTCTCCAACTGCAGCCTGCACAGCTTCTTGAAGAAAATCACACTGGAACCAGCATTCTGCCTCAAATGCATATCTCTTAGCTCATGCCAAACAGCTTGTGCAGTCTCTTGACCCTCTAAGTTTACCAGCAAGTGGTCTGAAACACTCAAAACAATTGTCCCTCGGGCTCTCATATCTGCAGCATGCCACTCAGGCCATTCATCATCATCCTTATCAGGAGGGTCATCTTCTATCGTGTGAAATAGCTTTTCCCTCTGTAAAAGCGCTTTCATCTTGACCTGCCAAACTGCATAGGTCTCAGGCGTGAGGAGAGGAAAGGACATAGCCATCTGGCCAGAATGTGCACAGGCCATGTCTGCTATTACTTAGAGCAAGACACTTCCCTCATGCAACACAGATAAAGCCTTGGACTCCTTCAGCCACTCTCTCTCCCACTCAGAGTGCAATTAACAGGCAAACAGGGACGCCATCTTCTTTCTTTGGCAGTCAGCAACATACCTCCATAAATCAAGCAGCAGCAACAGCAACAGCAACAGCGGCAGCTTGAACACTCTGCTCCAAAACAGCTCTGCTTCTGGGCACCGCAAATCAGTCCAGCATGCAGCGTCCATTCCGCTGTCCGGCAATCAGCAACACAAACCTCTGGCGACTGGGACGACTGGTACAACTGGAACAACGGCTGGTCAGACGACTGGGACAATGACTGGGCCCATAACCGATGTCAGCATCGCCCTTGAGCCAGTGCCACCAACTGGACTCATCCACTTCAGCCCCGACTGGGCTAGGCGAGCTGGGTAGCACTTCCAGAGACCACCTTCTGCACAGGAACAGGTCAAAGTGCTGTGGACTCACAGCTTAGTGTTGTGAGCACCGGATTCACTCCAACAAGAAGACAGTCGTCGCACAGCAGAGTACAGCAGACTCTAGCAGAGTATATAAACAACTCGGAGAGCAGCTCTGTAGAATATCTTCTTTATTCTATCTACAACTATTATACAGCTATATACAGAGCTTAATGAGTCTAAGCATAAATGAATGCTGCACTGCACTGAGTGTCTGCAGCTGCTCTTAGCAGCAACCTTATCTCTACACACGATCTCTAACACTCAGTCTCTCTCTCTCTCCGACACTGACTGACTGACTGACTCGGTGCTGGAGCAGAATAAGTAGAGAGCAGAACACGCCTCCTCCTCTCTGGAGAATCAGCAGACTCCTCAGGAGATTCTTGGATATGGGAGGGGTGAAATCTCCTCACAGAGATGGGCAGATTTCCTCCTAGAAGGATATAGAGATTCCCACCTCCACAGTTGGGGATGATGCCTGTGGATTGTTTGGCTAAGGCTAACATTGAAGACAGCAGTCATGAAATTAAAAGACGCCTGCTTCTTGGGAGAAAAGCAATGACAAACCTAGACAGCATCTTAAAAAGCAGAGACATCACCTTGCCAACAAAGGTCTGTATAGTTAAAGCCATGGTTTTCCCAGTAGTGATGTATGGAAGTGAAAGCTGGACCATAAAGAAGGCTGATCGCCGAAGAATTGATGCTTTTGAATTATGGGGCTGGAGGAGACTTTTGAGAGTCCCATGGACTGCAAGAAGATCAAACCGGTCCATTCTTAAGGAAATCAGCCCTGAGTTCTCACTGGAAGGACAGATCCTGAAGCTGAGACTCCAATACTTTGGCCACCTCATGAGAAGAGAAGACTCCCTGGAAAGAACCCTGATGTTGGGAAAGATGGAGGGCACAAGGAGAAGGGGACGACAGAGGACAAGATGGTTGGACAGTGTTCTTGATGCTACCAGCATGAGTTTGACCAAACTGCGGGAGGCAGTGGAAGACAGGAGTGCCTGGTGTGCTCTGTTCCATGGGGTCACGAAGAGTCGGACACGACTAAACGTCTAAACAACAACAACAACATTGAAGAGCTAAGGTGTTTGGGGCGCTTTGACCACCATAGGGCCAAACAGGTAAACCACTTCCCCTCTAGCCACCCCCCTTCCTGGTATTTTCTGCTCCGGAGCAAGTACCATGAGTGAGTTTTAGAAGGCATCTCTCCATCCATCCACCCTTTGGGAAAGGCAATTCTTGAGTACCATTGGCAGAAAGTTCTCAGGATGCTCAGCCCAGTATGCTCTCCTCTCCAATAGGCTTCTCTGTAGGAAAGGCAGATGGGGCTTGCCCCGATGAAGATGGATAAGTGGGGCTGTGAGCCAGCAACTGCAATTCTGACTAGTAAAAAATTGTAAGCCCTTGCTATATTTCCTTTACATCCTATAGGACGTAGTCTATTACAACATAAACAGCAGACCTGGTTACTCCTCTGGCAAGTGTGGATACTGAAGGAATTTTAGAAGCAGCAACAATTCTTTCTTTGGAAGGGGATGCTGATATGTCACAGGTGTGTGCAAAGGCCTTAATTTTAAGAGCAGCATGCCGGAATCTGTATCCACTGGGCCCTCCCTGAATGACCACCCCACTCCACAAAAAAGCTCTCATCAGTGGTGTAGCATGGGTTGGCAGCGCCCGGGGCAAGGCAAGTATCCTTGGCACTGCCTACTGATAGCTTGGCGACCTACTCGAGTGGCCGCAGCAATGCCATGTGAACGTCGAGCGTGGCAGAGACTGGAACAGGGGATTGGTTGGGAGTGGGTATCTTTTGTGCAGAAGGTGCCCTAGCAACCGGCCATTGTCAAAATCTGCTCCTCACTCTGCCTGTGGGAACAGTGGGAGATTTTCTGTGTTGGGAGGGCACACTATTTTAAAAAATATTATTATTATTACTACTTCCTTTCCCCCCTTTTGAACTTTTGCACCCCTTCGAATTTTGCGCTCCGGGCAACCTCCCCTGTGGCCCTACCCATGCCATGCCACTACAATAACCTCTTTATACACAAGGCACTCTCCCTTTTCCTAAACATCTGCTGTATATGGGGAAATTTCTTTTTCTGCAAATTTTATTTATTTGAATGTGTATGGAGTAAGAAAAACAATTAATACCCACTCCACAGCCCGGAAGAATGGCTGGTGACCAAACATTCTCCACCAAAGCAGCCTTGTAAATGGGAGCAAAGAATTTATTTGCCCACTAGATAACAGCATGCAGTAGCTGAGGGTCACCTTTCCCATTGACCCTTGAATAATGATGATAGCTTGCTGCTCTACTTCAGAGCCTGTCTTGTCATCAGCATCCTTGATAGGCTCATCCTTTCCCACTCTCGCCTGTTGATGGCCCCAGCCTTCAGAATCACAGGGACCCATTGCCTCTCTTTCTTCCTCTCCTCTCCTGGATACCTTGACAGGCCCAGAACGGAGCCTTGGCTCTTTCAGTCCCATGAATCTTTGCCCTTTCCTATTGTTGACCCTGTTGACCCTTGACCCTGGCCTGATAACAGATAGATAGCCGCTGCATCATCTTGGCCAGGGGTTGTCAACCTGTGAGTGTTTCAGGATTCTAGGTGGGCGGTAGGGGGTTCTACGGCACAAGCTGAATCCTCCGTCCATTGAGAACTGGTGGGTGGTAAGGAAATTTTACCATCAAGAAAGATGCATTAGTGGGCGGTAGGTATAAAAAGGTTGACTATCTTGCCCATCAGTAAACTAGCAGCTGTATTCTGCACTAACCAGAGTTTCCAGGCCAGGGTCAAGAATAGCCCCACATAGAAAACATGGCAGCAATTCAGTCTCAAGGTTAGCAATGCATAGACTTCAATGGCCATGTGATCCCAATATGGCCATGGTTCACATACCAGACAAATCAGTGAAAAAGCGCTCCTGACCTTTTTATTACATGCTAATAACTTTCTGCTATTGTATCAGCCATGTTGGAAGTCTTTTAGCAGGCAGAAAGTCAGTATATCAACGGTTTAAGGTGAACTCATTAAATACATGGATAACAGGGATTATTTGCTCGAGCACTGCAAAACCTAGTGCCTATTAAAAATGCTGGTCTTTGTAGGGGGAAAAATGCAAAGCAAAATTTCCTTGCATCCCAAAGCCTCATTTTTCAAATATGTTTTTTCAAGCCATGTTTTAGAATTTGAGCTAGAGATTCTGAATCCACTCCCTTCTCTCCCTGTTTTTCATCACAGTCGCCTTCCAACAACTCAAAAACCTCCCCAGACAGAAGTGTTCTGTAACTGCGATAAAGAGGTGGGCTGTTTTTATAGGTGCGATATCCTGTCAGACAAACAGAAGGTCACATCGGAACTCAAGTACTGCTGCTAAGTAATTTTACCCCTGAATGCGTTTGGAGAACTGCCAGGCCAGCTCACCTTCCCATCTATTATCGCACCAACTTGCCTTGTGAGAAATCCTGATTTACATTTATAAAACTCACAAGGCAAGATAGAATATAGGGAAAGTGGATCAGTGTAATACGGCTTGTTGCTAGGGATGGGGTGGAAGAATCCAATTCAGCGCACATTTAAAGGAAAACCCACAAGAACACAGCCACCTTTTGAAATCCACGCTCCTCCGTATTTTGCAATGCAGTTCTCTAGCCAAGGAATGTGTACAAAAAATACATGCACTAGGGTAAAGTGCATAAAGTGTGTGTGTGTGTGTGTGTGCGCGCGCACACACACACACACACACACATATATATATATACGCGCGTGCGCGTGCGCGTGCGCGCAAACACACACACACAGACATATACACACAAACAAAATATATAAGGGGATGTTGCAGAAAAGTGTATATTAGGCAAAATTGCATGCACACATGGATAAATTTGCACTAAAATGCTGGTGAGGACTTAAAATAAATAAATAATAACGAACTGGAGAACTCAGCTTAAGGCTAGAAAAAGGAGAATCCGAGAGATACCAACAGTATTCATTCATCTGTGTTTAGCCCAGGAACAGGAAACATGTGGTTCTCTAGCTGCTGCTTGACTCCAACCCCCATCAGTCCTAGGGGTCAGGGTTAATAGGAGTTGTAGTCCAATAACGTCTGGCAGGTCACCAGTTCCCCATACCTGAATTTTCATTCTGTTCACTTTTCTGCTTTTAACTGCTTGTTTTTACCCTCAGGGATTACTGTTAGGACAAAGAGCAGCAATGGTACCTGAAGGGTTCGTTGCTTACTTCAATACAGGGCAGAAAAGGCCAGAGTGCAGATTTCATAATGGAATTTGAAAAGTATATGCATGGGCAGTTGATAATGTTGTTTAAGCTACTTACTGGTCAGGGACAAAATCCATATAGTGAAGTCTTTTTCCTTTTAGAGAACTCTGCAGAAACATTTATTGAAAGGTTAAAAGAAGGACCTCCCTTAAAAACAGAATCAGCAAGAGAACCAATTTTAGGTGCTTGGTAGCCTTAAAGCCCAAGGGAAGATGTCACAGGGTTAACTCCTCTCATGATGCTTTTTCAGGTGATGAAACATAGGCAGCTGGGGAGGCTGCAGAGTGCTGGAAAAGTGTTGTTTGGAAAGAAAAACACATGCTACCTTTTGCCATCCTGCAAGAAGAGGCTAAGATCAGCCCTGCACTGCTGAACTTATGAAGTGCCCTGCAAATGAGGAAGAAAAACCAAAGTCCTTTTCACAAGGGAAGAAACTTTCCCCAAACTGGAGAACAGGTTTCATCACAGATATGCACACACCCCTTTGGGCAAGGGAGAATCTGTGTTTAAAATAAGTAAATAAAGCAGGCAGCTAGTATTCAGTGATGGTTGAGCATGCTCAGTCCTTATTACCTTACTTGTGGGGTGCCCTCTTAGTTCCCTCCTTGACTGTTTTTGTATTTCCCTCCTTGAGTATTTTTGTACTTCCCCAGGACGGCCAGACCTCCCCCCTCTTCCTCAGTGGTCCCATTTTGGCCACGATAATGTTCGCGTTCACTCGTTGAGTTCAGCTTTACAGGCAGGGATATACATAATACATTGTGTGCCCTAGGCTGGGAGTAAGTCTCATTGGGTTTAAATTTTGTGTGTACACCACCCTGTCTTACAAAACTTCCAGCCTTTCCTCCCTTGTACTCAAGGCATATGCATGCATAGGTGACTTCAAAGTCGAAGCCATGAAGTGCTCAGGAATTCTGAAGCAGTGGGATAAAACAGAAGAGTTTGGATTTGATATCCCACTTTATCACTACCCTAAGGAGTTTCAAATGGGCTAAGAATCTCCTTTCCCTTCCTCCCTCACAACAAACACTCTGTGAGGTGAGTGAGGCTGAGAGACTTCAGAGAAGTGTGACTGGCCCAAGGTCACCCAGCAGCTGCATGTGGAGGAGCAGGGAAGCGAACCCAGTTCACCAGATTATGAGTCCACTGCTTTTAACCACTACACAACACCAGAGCCACCAGTGGTCTCTCTGGGCCACAGATTGAGTTCTGGAAAGCAGGACGTCACCAGAACCTACTGAGCCAGGCCCATCTGAAATGTGCGGATTATAATTCTGACATCCCTTCTCGAGAGCTGGTGTAAGGATTACAGAGACACCACATGTGAAAACGCTTTGGACGCTCTCAAGTGTTCTCACTACGGGCTAAATAATACTGTTCATTCGTGCTACGTTTTGCTGAGCCACCCAACCAGGCTTTAAATGTGATGTTCTGCAGACTTTTTGCACATGCCAAAAAAAAAAGAAAAAAAAAAAGTGCAGCTCTGACAACGCATAGCCATTTACCCTGTCTGTTCCCCAAATTACTCATTAACCATACAGAGGCTGTATTTTGAGATGTAATTGATTAACTGTCTTAATGGGTTTGCATCATTTGAAAAACAACCCTAAAACCAGGAAGGGGTGTGTGGGGAGCATAAAATTGCTCCAAGTAATTTTCCAGACCTTTGTCGCTGCAGCAGTTGATACCCACGCTTACGGTGTAATGGAGAGTCTGAATTTTCATCCTATATTGCTGTTATGGCAGCGACTAACAGACTGGCTGATAGGCAGTTGAGCGTTGGCCTCGGGCATGGAAAGCTGGCTCTGGCATTTGAGTTCTGCCGTGATGTCAGCACAGTTTGTAATGCATGGATTCCATCATAGATTAGCACAGCCTGCTCTCCAAATTATAAAGTCCTTTGAGTTCAGGGTTTTTCTTTAGTTATAGTTGACAGCAGAGAAGCAAACTCACTTGGCCAGTCTTATTATTATTATTATTTTTAGCAAAACACGAAAAGAACCCTGCATCCAAAGTCTCTCTTTGTAACCACACTGGTGAGGACTCAGAATACTTTGGATAGCCACTGCATAACCTGCTGATGGGAGCCATTCAGATTCCAAAGGATTCACCGCAAAGCCCAAAACAGCTTTGTTAATACTGCCAGCATAAATATCAAGGACTTGGTGGCAAGGGGAGGGCCAAAGGAAATTTAACACTTGATCCTGTGGATCTAATGGGTGGGGTTTTCAGAATTAAGCACTAAATGCCTTTGGATTCCTACCCCCCCCCTTTCACATTTGCTCAGAAACCAATCTCCTTTTAAAGATATTTTGCAAATTGCAACTGATTTCTCCTTGAACGTGTGTCATTACAGTGTTCTGGGTCTGTCTGCTTTACGTCCTATAAACTGAACTGAGTCCCAGCCAGGAAAAATGGCGGGATAGAAATAAATATAATAATAAAACAAGTGACTTGCAACTTACCAGTGCCGGATTTACGTATAAGCTAAACAAGCTATAGCTTAGGGCCCCACTCTCTTGGTGCCCCCCAAAAAATTTAAAGGAAAAAAAACCTGGATGTACATTTCCAAAATAAAAGATAAAAAACAAATAAAATAAAACCTACATACAGCAACAGTGTTTTGTGTTGTGTAGGCTCCTATGATGTAAGTTATGGGCTCCGCCTACTAGCCTGCTCCCTAAAATATCACTGGTTAGATACCTATTAGGTCCATAAATTACCATATAGCATATATTCAACACAAAGCAGCAACAATTTGTTGTTGACAAAGGGCAGCTGGAGATATAAAGGGCCCCATTACCTTCAGTAGCTTAGGGCCTCATCAAACCTAAATCCAGCCCTGCAACTTGCGCACATTTAAGTTGCACACATTCAGCTTTACACCCTCGACAAAAAAAAATAAAAAAAAAATTAAAAATTAAGAAGGGGGCAGAAAGGGGGTGGTCATCTGGGGAAAAGAGACTTTGGCAATCCCACCCACCATTAAACCGAAGGAGTTCTGACTCTACGCGGTTTTGGCTTTATGCTCTATCCCTGGAACGTAAGCCTTGCGTAAGTTGAGTGTCGTCTGTATACCCCTTTCCCAAACTTCCCTCAGTTTTCTTTATCGTACTGTGTTTGGATGTCACAGTGACCTCTCCCCAAGGCTCAGGTCCTCGCCACCTTCCCCCTCTTCCTGTGGCTCAGTTGTGAGGAAGAGTTTGGGAGGGTCAACAGTGGCTTGTTGTGTCTCCAAACCTGACAAACTGTGGCTAATCTTAACCGCTGTGCGTTTGGAACAAGTCAATTTCAAGCTATAGTTTATGCAGTTGGCTTGTTTACAAAAGTGGCTGGTGGGTGCGGTGCGGCAGATTTTTTCCCCCTGCCCTGTTTTATTGTGTGCCTAATTTGGAAAGGAGACTCTTGAGAGTCCCATGGACTGCAAGAAGATCAAACCTCTCCATTCTGAAGGAAATCAGCCCTGAGTGCTCACTGGAAGGACAGATCCTGAAGCTGAGCCTCCAATAATTTGGCCACCTGATGAGAAGAGGAGACTCCCTGGAAAAGACCCTGATGTTGGGAAAGATGGAGGGCACAAGGAGAAGGGGACAACAGAGGAAGAGATGGTTGGACAGTGTAGTGGTTCTAGTGGTTGCTTGTGCGTAAGCCAGTGCAAACACCTGGCTGGGTTGCCTGAGTGAACCTTTTCTGTCCCGACAGCCACTCACCCGTGGCTGTCTCAATCGCTGGCAGAATCCGTCAGTGGGCGTTTCTTAAACTTCTTCCAGCAAAGAAGCTCTTTGACGCCTAGTCTCCTCCTACTCTCTCTGCTCGAAAGCCTTCTGCGCAAGGAGAGCGTAGGCAGCGGAGGACCTCTACTCTCCCCGCTGGTCCCCGGCAAGGAGTCATGGGACCGCCTCACCGCTTCCCCCATCTGCCCCCCTTCTCCACTGGTGCTACGCTGATTCTCTTCCCCAGAAGATGGGCTGCCTCTCCCAATCCCAGGACGCTCTCTGGAATCCCTCTGGATTTTGCTCTCTCCCTCCGGCACTGATGGCAGTTCCCTGACAGACAGTGTTCTCGAAGCTACGAACATGAGTCTGACCAAACTGCGGGAAGCAGTAGAAGACAGGAGTGCCTGGCGTGCTCTGGTCCATGGGGTCACGAAGAGTCGGACACGGCTAAATGACTAAACAACAAAAATTTGGAAAGAAATATTTTTGCCGGGCTTCTGTGCCAATGAGCCTACTCTTCATGGAGCACCAAAACGTTCCTTTTTCTAGTTCTGAAGGATTTTGCTCACAGCACCTGTCACTTAGCTAGGAGGCTTGCTGTCATTTTAGAGGACCCTGTGTGGCGTTTTGTGTGTGTGCCTTTTTTTTTTAAAGCCAATCTGTGCAGGGGCCATTTCAGTGTCACGTTCAGAAGGAGGTGTATTTCACAGTTCTTAGGACAGCTATTTCCAACGGTTTTTGCATTTCTCTCTCTCTCTCTCCTCCTGCAAATGGATTTGGGGCGTTTATTATCATTATTATTGGCAAATGCATTCGGAAAATCAAAACATGGTCTCATGCAGGTCACAAAACACTCTAAGCTCGACCGTTCCATGCAGTTGATGCGCTGCATGCTGAGAAAAGTATCTGTTTAGTGAGCTGAACGGTGTTATTTTGAGCGCATGTGTCCAGCCATGCTTTCCTCATTCATTTTACAATTTGAGATTTGTACTTCTTTTTTTGCTTTTACGTGTTTTCATGCCAGATCATAGGACTAAATGGGAGCAAACACTGCTCTATGGCATCCTTTAGTTACAAAACTGTAGGAAGAGGACGAAAGACCATTTTGGGCGAATCCACACCATACATTTAAAACCCGGAGAATCCTGGGAGCTGTAGTATGTCAATAGCAGCTCTGCGAGTTGGAAGCTACAGTTCCCAAGATCCTATGCGGGGGGGGGGGGGAGCTCTGTGCAGTATTAGAAACTCTGATGTATAAGCTAGGCACCAAATGTTGTCCCCTTAAACCAGGGTTAAAGCCACCAAAACAGAATGCCTAGTTGCCATTTAGGGGCCAGGCGGCTCGAAAGTCGTATTCTTCAATACAACTTTTTGCTTCCTGAAATTTGTTCTGATTTTGCAGATAAAATACCACAGAATTCTACAGGATGTATTGCTAGTGTGTGAGAACAGGCAGGATCCCAGGATAGCCAGTCCTGCACCTCCGGATGGCGGAGACGTCTGTTGCCATCCTGACACCCAGGCATCTTCACTTGGTCGCAAGTGGCCGATAGTCAGGCGCAAAATGCGTCTGGCGAATTTCGAACACTGGTTCTGTGTTATTTTAATGTGCTTTGGATGTGCTTTAAATGTTCAGTGTGCATCTGCTCTTAATTTGGCCAGCCTCCTCCAAGAGGATTAGAGTGCCATGCTTGTCAAGGTTTAGCTTGTGTTGCCACTCGCACCTGCCTCTTTAGGGCTGTTATGCCTAGTACAAGCTCCACGGGGGTGCCACAGAACGCAAGGTCTTTCTTGCAGTGGCCCCCATACATTGGAACTTTGTGCTTTTTAGATGTCTGTCTGGCTTCAGCTCAGCATATATTCCGAAGGCATGCTTAGGCACAGTTTTTACCTAATACTTTGAAAATGCTTGGTTGGTTGTTCATCATGCTGTGAGTTGGGTTTTTTAATACAGTGGTACCTCAGATTACAGTCGCTTCAGGTTTCAGACTCCGCTAACCCAGAAATAGTACCTTGGGCTAAGAACTTTGCTACAGGGTGGGAACAGAAATCACGCGGCGGCGGCAGCGGGAGGCCCCATTAGCTAAAGTGGTACCTCGGGTTAAGAACAGTTTCAGGTTAAGAACGGACCGCCAGAACGAATTGAGTTCTTAACCCAAGGTACCATAATAATAATAATAATAATAATAATAATAATAATAGTAATTTATTCTCTGCCCTTCACCCCAAGGTCCCAGGGTGGATTACAACATTTAAACACAATGTTAAAGACATCTTAAAACAACTTACAGTTGTGAGGAAGTGATTTTTGACTGCTAATGCATCCGCTCTGGGACCTTAAATAAATAATGTTGTTTTTTTCTCCATCGTGGTTTTTTTTTTTTTTTTAAAAAAAGTTGCTTCCTTTTTTAAAAGGAGCATTTCTTAGGTGGTGGAAGCAGTGAATGTGGCATACCCCTCCCCAGCTTTGTGTTGTGTTTCATCACATTTCTGTAACAAAGGGTGTATACGTATATTTTTATGTCTGCTCCAGCACTGTGACATTTGAAGACATTACATAACAAAAACCACACTTTGGGTTAAGTGCCGGCTGTGTTGAGTGCAAAATAACAGCATAGCCACGGTGAACCCGGTTGACTGCTCTCACGGCGGGTTAAGGCAGCGAGGCTGCTTTGCAATGATGGACATTAGTAGGGATGAGTTAATATTAACTCCTTCACCTGCCTCTTGGTGCTTTGTGCTGATTGTAGCGCTGTGCTGAGCAATGAGTTTGCTAGAAGGGCACGCTGAGGAGAGGGGGAGAGGGTCAGGGCGTGCTATGGGGTGCTGGTGCTTTAAATTTCTTATTGCTGATCTTCCTAAGCCACCCTGGAAACAGGGTGCAATGCTTCAAATAAAATTTTATTGCTGTTGTTATTAGTATATTCCCTTTCATCTGTAGATCTCAGGGCGATCTACAACATAAAATTGCAATATAAATACAACAAAATACATAATAAAATTAAGAACAACAACAAACCAATAAATGGCACTCTCCGAGCCCTTTTTCTCCAAGTTAAATGAGTAACTGATTAGGAGGGCATGTGCAAAAAAAGGTTATTTATGTACGCCACTACGGCGGCCCGTGTTTTGTTAGCCCCAAAATAGAAAACGAGCGAGGTCCTAACCAAAGAAGAATGGCAACTTGCGTATCTAACTTACAGAATAAGAAGAAGAACAAGAAGAACAAAATAACAAAATGTTTATTGAATATATGGGGGGAAATTGTGTACACTTGAAAACGTTAAGGTAAATTAAGGTAAGGAAAAAATTAAGGTAAATTCAGCAGTGTATATAAGTTTTGATGGAAGTAATAATGGAATACTGAATGGTTTAGTTTATACAAAATATACAGGGATTTATGCTATGCAAAATGAACCATGGAAAGAGAAGAAGGGAAGTCATTGATATTTTAAGGTTGTTTAAATGAATATTCTAAATAGTAAAACAGAACATTTAATATATATGTGGGGGTAGGTGGTACCCCCCCCCCCCCAATACTTCTTTGCTTCCAGTTTCTGATGCTTAGCTGCTTGTTGCATGTGAGTACAAGTATAGCTGCTTGGCTAGACTTAGTCCAGGGAGACCCAGGTCCAAATTTCATCCCAGGCACAAAACTCACTGTGTGACCCTGGGTTAGGTATAATCTTGGCTACCTCACAGGATAAGGGCTGAGGATAAAAGGGCTGAACGCTTCATTACTACTTTTTAAAAATGTAGTAATTGCAATCAGCTTTTTTTCTATACAAATCTTGAAAATCTTCCATCTCTTCACTGCATGGCTTACTAAGCTGGGAGCCCCAAGCAGACTTCCCACATGGAGGAGGAGTAGGAGGAGTTTGGATTTGATATCCCGCTTTATCACTACCCGAAGGAGTCTCAAAGCGGCTAACATTCTCCTTTCCCTTCCTTCCCCACAACAAACACTCTGTGAGGTGAGTGAGGCTGAGAGACTTCAGAGAAGTGTGACAAGCCCAAGGTCACCCAGCAGCTGCATGTGGAGGAGCAGGGAATCAAACCCAGTTCACCAGTTTATGAGTCTACCGCTCCTTACTACTACACCACACTGGCTCTCTGTTTGCACCAGGTAGCTTGGTGGTCAGGCTGCACATTGGCCTTGCATGCCAGTGATCCCAGGTTCGAATCTTGGCATATGCAGTTAGAAATATCAGCATAGGGGCCATGGAAAAGCCTCTTGGCCCAAGTCACTGGAAAGTAAGTCAAAGTAAATGACCCACGACCAGGTGGAGATACCATCTAACTTGGTACTGTCGTACCTTGGTTTTCAAACAGCTTAGTTCTCGAACATTTTGGCTCCTGAACGCCACAAACCCGGAAATGACTGTTCCAGTTTGTGAACTATTTTTGGAAGCCAAACGTCCGACAGGGCTTCCGATTGGCTGCCGGAGCTTCCCGCAGCCAATCAGAAGCCGCGCTTTGGTTTCCGAATGTTTTGGAAGTCGAACAGACTTCCGGAATGGATCCTGTTTGGCTTCCAAGGTATGACTGTATAAGGAAACTCCCCCCCATTCCTTGCCACAGACTTTAGAACTGTTGCATTTGCATGTTGGTCTGGGCAAACCTTTTGTGTAGAATCGCAGAGGTTGCAATGAACTCTGGTGTAATGAGTCCATTAGAGGCAGCAGCAATCAATACAGGGCTTCAGACTCTTTATATATATTGATGAGCTGATGGCTCTTAGAGGGTCGTTGGGGAATTGGGATTCATTTTGATACAGTCAGGATGGCTGCTGATGGCTTCTGTAATCAAATTAAAGTATCAGGAGATGTGGTGAGACACATCCGTAAGCACAGTAGAACCATTTGCAGAAATCGCTGCACATACCAAGGGCTTGACTGGTATTAAATACACTGAGGCAGCTGCCATAATAAATACTGTGCGGCATCTGACTCCACAGCTAGAGTGCCAAACTAGAGCAACAGGAAATACTGGCACTTTTAGGTTCCAGGAATGTGCCATTTTATCAATCATTCTGCCCTTATAGTGTGCTGATCTTTTAAGTATTACTTAAAGTTTTCTATCCTGCTTTTTAGGGGACGCGGGTGGTGCTGTGGTCTAAACCACAGAGCCTAGGGCTTGCCGATCAGAAGGTCGGCAGTTCAAATCCCTGTGACGGGGTGAGCTCCCGTTGCTCGGTCCCTGCTCCTTCCAACCCAGCAGTTCGAAAGCACGTCAAGGTTCAAGTAGATAAATAGGTACCACTCTGGCAGGAAGGTAAACGGCATTTCCGTGTGCTGCTCTGGTTTGCCAGAAGCGGCTTAGTCATGCTGTATGTCGGTTCCCTCGGCCAATAAAGTGAGATGAGCGCCGCAACCCCAGAGTCATCCGTGACTGGACCTAATGGTCAGGGGTCCCTTTACCTTTACCTTTATCCTGCTTTTTACAAAATGGATGTCATGGGCTGGTTGCACACAGAGGAATGGTGGGAGGAGCCAGCTGGGGAACCACCAAGAGAATAAGGGTCAGAGCTCAGGGGGTTGTGGTGGAACAACAATGAGTGGTCACAGTGAGAAGGCTGGGAGGAGAAGGTGTTGGAAGCTGAAGAGGTTACAGGGCTTTGTGAGCTGGGAGAGTCGGTGGCAGAGAGAAGTCCAGAATCAGAGGCAGAAGCTGATGGGGGGTGGGAAGGCAAGAAGCAGAGATAGGTCTGGCTGCTGAAGAAGCTATAACAAGCTCCCTTCTCCACATACGTCCCAAAACTAGTAGTTGTGTGGCGAGTTCCCACCACCCACCAGTAGAAATAAAAACACATGACACCATTATTTTAGGTTGATGGGCTAAAATTGGCCACAGCTTTGGTTACAGGTAAAGAGCGGTATTGGCTTAGGCATTGGTCCTATCCAACTATCTGGCTTCAGCCTGTTTGCTTGAAGACCAGGAAGGGTTAACACCAGCAGGGGGAGCCCTGCTGATGCACATCAACTAGGAACTCCCCCGGGGTCACCGCTCGGGGGCGTGTCTTAGGCCCTGGCCTCCATAGGCTTCGGATGAGGCCACGCCCCCCAGAATCCTTTACCGGACTACCCTTCAATATTTGGGGGAGGTGATGGCGCTCCCCCCCCAACACATCTACATAACAATACCCCTACCAATGCCTAACCGCCAAAACCAAAGGAGTTGTGACAATTTGCTACAAGGTAGGCGAAAAACCAAATGGCCAGTGCCAATTTGCCAAGTGGAAAAAAATCCTACCAGGCCCCTTAACGGCGACCAACCAAAGTCCATAGCAAGGTCAGAAGGGGAACCTTAAAGGGCGGGTGGGTGGGTGGGAAACCTCAGCAGCTGAGCGGGACAAAGAGGGAGATCCTGGGGCTGCACTTGCCTTAAATGAGGCAAGCCACACACCCCGAGCCAGCCGATTGGCTGGCTCAGGGGATGACGCGGCCCGAGGATTCCCCTGATCGCGCAGGGGCTGGAAGCCAGCCTCTGTGCACGTGTTGGGGGCGTGAAGCCCACAACACCACCTCCTCTTTTGCTTTTGCTAATAAAGAGTTAACTCCAACTTTGACCTCCTCCCGAGGTCGGAAGTGGCTATGTGCGCACCATGTCATGTGATCAATTAAGCAGGGTGGGGCTTACCTGTCCCCCATACTTTATTCAAGTCGGCACCCCTGCCTGACACTCAGCCAAGTGAAGATTGTGCTTTTGCTAATAAAGAGTTAACTCCAACTTTGAACGGTGTGATTTACTGCAGACTCGCTCTTTGACAATGTATCAAAGTGGTGTACAACAATGCAAAACAATGAAGCTTCATAAAACCTCATAAGAAATATGCAAAAGGGGGGGGGGAAAGGATGCTCTGCCCTCTACCCTTAAAGGATGAAATCCTTTTTGTCCTTCCAAGTCGGCAGTGCTTTTTGGGTTCTTTTGCAGACTGCATGCTCCTTGCAAGCTTTGCATTCACGCCTGTAACTTTGGGCATCTCTCTCTCTAAGTGCACGGGTCTCGTTTATGGGCAGAGGGGTCCAATTGGTAAAGTCAAGCCTTTCAAAGTTTAAAGTTGGTGAACAAAAAATAAAGCATCTATGCCTGCAGAATGTAATCTATGTTTATTAGCCTGTAATACACATATTCATAAGAAATGGCTATTAAAAGTACATGTTGCAAGATGCCATTTAAAAAAACCAAAAACCTTCATGATGGTAATATCTGTTTTCCAAAGACCAAAATACTCATCTAAATATAATTTGCTTATAAATAATTTTAGGCTCTCGACCAGATTTCTCTGCTGTTTATAGAAAAGTGCCAGCGCCTCAATGCCAAAATTATGACTAACTTTCCATTAAGTGACTGATCCTTACTGGCTTGGTAAGAAAAAGGAGGGTAGCAGTTTTTCCAAGATGCTGCAAGTATGCTAAGCGGTTCTGGGGGAAAGAAGAGACACAATCAGAATGATTACCCAGATGAATTTAAATTTGAACCCTTTGCCGTTCTTGATGACCTTTGCTAAAATATGTGTGTGTGTATTGCAAAGCATCAGAGAAAAATTATTTTTTCACATCTAAATGGCAGTCTGAATGAATATGGCATGATGACAAAAGCCAACTGTTTAAGTCAGATTTAAAAAAAGAAGTCAGGCGAAGTTTAAAGTCAGAAATCATTTATTGACTGCCGGCAAAATAAAGCAGTCTCTTCAACCAATCTAATCTGTTTATTCACTATGTTTTAAAAATAGTTTTCTGTTTTTCTTACCTGGACTTGATGCAACGAATGTGTCACTTGCTGTCTTTTGAAACTTGAAATAAAATGTAAAATAAGATGCATAAAAGACAGGGGTTATATTTGCTCTGTGAATCCTACCCTCTGAGAAATGGGATTATAAGAGTCTTTTCCATTTTCTTTCCTGTTCCAGAAACCACTTTTCATACGAGTGTAGAATGACTTGAAATTCCTTTATAAACCCATTCATCCCTGCCCTGGTGATACTTTGATGTGATTCTTTCAACAGTTCCATTACAGTTTTAAAAGGTCCATTATCACGCTGGATTATAGCATCCATTAGCTTTCAAGAAGCTGGATATAATGCACAAAGAAAAGGGTTCACATTTGTTCTATCCACAAGTGTTCCCCGCATCCAAACACCACACCCATTTTCAGTAATAACTGACTATCAGGACTCAATAACCATTTGATTTATACATTTAGAGGCCTGTTCATTCCCAAATGAATTTTTCGTCTCGCCTCCCCTTCCTTAACAGAAATGTGCAATAGAAGGAAATCTGCCTTCTATCCATCAAATTATGTAATGGAAGGAATCCATTATGCCATGAAAGGAATATATCTCTCCATCTAATTACCGTATTTTTCGCTCTATAGGACGCACCGGACCATAGGACGCACCGGACCATAGGAGGGGGAGAACAGGAAAAAATTTTTTTTCTTGTTCTCCCCCTCTAAAACAAGGTGCGTTCAAGGTGCATTCACCCAAAGCCTCCAGAGCGCAGCGGGAGGCTTCAGGCGGCTACCTTGGAAGCCTGGAGAGCAAGAGGGGTCGGTGCGCACTGACTCCTCTCGCTCTCTAGGCTTCAGTGAAGGCAACCCGAAGCTTCTGGAGCTCGGCGGTAGTTCCCTCTGGGCTCTGGAGGCTTCAGGTTCCTTTTGACCTGCTCTTTGGGGCTGGCAGTGGGGGGAAGCCAGCCTCAAAGATCCGCTGCCCCCTGAGCTTGTGGGGCTGGCGGTGGGGGGAAGCACTGCTTTCTCCCACCGCCAGCCTCAAAGACCAGGTCAGGGAGCAGCGCGAAGGCGGCAAGAGGGGCAGCGCTCCGTCTCCCTGTTCTGGCTTTGGGCTTAGCCGTGCAGCCTGCATTCGCTCTATAGGACGCACACACATTTCCCCTTAATTTCTGGAGGGGAAAAAGTGCGTCCTATAGAGCGAAAAATACGGTATCTATCTAATCAAACTAAAGCATTCACAAAATAGGGGCTTTCTGGAAGAGAATAAGGGCCATCTAGTCTAAAAACCCTTTTTCCTGCCAATAGGTTATTGCTCCCACAACACATTGCCGACAGCCTAATACTTATGAGACTAAACACAAACTTAATCTAGGAATCTACCAATCCCCATTAAAAACAACAACACCTTATGCCATTCATTGCAGCCATCGTTCATGTGGAGTTATCACCTCTGGCCAAGTTAT